CATGAGTAAATGGATATGAAATGGCATCAAATTTCTCTGTTTATCCATATCAAAGTTGGTGCTTCACACTCCCTAAAAAAGAATATTTTTTTTCAATCATATCTAGCACATTTATTTAAAACTGAAGAAAACAGTCTCTGTTCACTAAATTCTGTGGAATCCTTAGAAAGCATCCTATCTAGGGGTACCTGGTTCACAACTAGTCAAAACAGTCATTCTCCACATAATACCTACTGTGAAATGGATTACAGTATTTTTTTTTCTTGTACAATGAATTAGAAAAATCCCTTGTAATATTTCATATATTGACTTCTCTAATGGAGTAATCTAACATAAAGCCACAAATGACTGACCACAAGTCTTCCAGACACAGTGGACTCCAGAGCAAAGTTATTGCTTCCAAAACCAGATAATCCAGTGAAACTAAATTGGTTGTTTGATGGATCAACATCAATATCTTTACAGTAATTTCTAAGATCAACAAGAAATGTCCCAGGAGTTGTATTTTCATTTGCTTCTTTCCTGTATAAAACAAACACATTTCCTGTCAGAGCAACTTATATTTCTCCTTTTGCACTCTTCATATATCACAGGCCAAAACACTGATTTACTTTTTAAGTGAAGTCCTAGATCTAAATATGCAACAATGGAGAAAGCAACCCAGAATCTGACCCATGTCTTGTGATGGACAACAGCCCTGTACAATGGGCAGGCTAATGACAAACGTCCACTCCAGCTGCAGGTCTGGGGATGTACCCTAATCTGCTCACTGGTCTGGGGCAGAAAGGCAGCACCAAGGCAAGGAAGAGACTCCATACCTGAAGGCAGAAGGATTGCATTCTGGTGGGTTGTCATTGACATCATCAATAATGATTGTGATCTCCATTTCACTGGCACGGCCACTGCTGGGGCCATCCTCCACCCGGACTATCAGTGAGATGTTAGGATGGAGCCGCAGGGGAAGCGCGTCCCGGTCAACTCTCCCGGTCACCTGCAACACTCCAGTTGCTGTCAGAGAGCAGCCAGAAATCAGATATTCACCATGGAAGAAAGCAACAAACTGTCATGGTGCATGTGCAAGAGGGTAGGCCAGCTCCACAGACAAGTAGCAGAACAAAAAGTCTTCTGTTCTGTGGAAATTGTGGCTGGTTTAGTTATTTTTTTTAAAGTGATACAAAATGGCTCTGACCATTCTGGGTAAGATAAATGGCTAGATACCATTGCTGAAAAATACACCTTAGGAGGCCTCAGCAGCAGGTTTGTAAAACATTTAGGTTTCTCTTACTCTCAAGCTTCTAGTGCAAGCCAGAAATGAGCGCATTCACAGAGTATCAAGGACAATGAACTGCTAATGCCTGTGCTGCCCTTGCTCCCTAGCTAGTAAAACAGCTACACTTTCCACTGTTATCATTCAAGCATCCTTCAGCACCTCCAAATCTACTCACACATCAACAGAGCTGTGACAGACAGTGCCAAGTGCTCTGGTCAGCCACTCACTTAATACTGTTTTTTCACTTCTGTTTGCCTCTATCAAAAGTATTATGGCACAGTACTATTCCCAGAGCACAAAGGAGTTAAAAGAACAGTGAATACATCCTCTGCATTTTGGAATGCAATTGAGGAGGAAGGTGGCAATGCAAGGCCAAAGGGTATAGGGAATCCAAAGTTTTAAGGATCATCCTTATCCCCCACAGCACTGTGCTGTGTGGCACTTCTTACAACTGTGATAAACAGTTCTAAAGCAGTAGCAGACAAGGGGCAAAGCTGTCACTGAATGCCAGCCCTGGAGGAAAAAATCCTGGGGAAAAAATGTACAGACCCCAGAGCGCATGAAGAAGATAGGGTCACCATGAGAAAAAAGACTCTTTTTGGATGGTCTTGACCGAGGGGGGTCATGAATAGAAAAATGAACTTGCGGTATAGAATTGCTGTGCACCTCAGTGTTAGAGAGGATTTTAGACAGGAGGGAGGACATCACGGTCTAACTACCTGCAGCTGTTTCAAGAGACCCAGAAAGGTCACTGCAGTCCTCAAAGATTGAAAATAATTCAGCAATCTTACTTCCACCCAAGGAGCCATGACCCTCCAGAAACAAGTCAATATTTGTCAAGAAGTCACCTTTGGTCTACTTTCTTCAAGACACCTTACCAAGTCTTGGTCAGCTGACCAAAGAATTTGACCTTAATAAGGGACTGAGCACATTCCTTATTGCTATAAGGAGCCACAAAATAAAGTCTATTTAAAACTAAGGCAAAAATAATTTCTCCAAAGTAGACAGTCTCTTTTTTTTTGTTATTTTTCAGATGTCAGAAGTCACATTTTTGTTTGTCTGACCTGGGTTTATGGAAAAATGTCTGTCAGATGACTGGATGCTGTAGAAAAGTCTGCTGGGAGAATCTTCATCATCAGGATCTTTAGCTGTTACATTGGCAACAATGGTGCCCAGGCTTTGCTCCTCTGGAATTCTGTAGATTCTTTGTTTTCTAGAAGATAAAATTCAACAAAGCATGCATCTTGTTTGTAAGGGCAGCTGATTACAGACATAGCTGAGAAGCCAACTGTTCAGCAGAGCCATGGCCTTGCTGGGCTCAGTGATGGCTATTTGCATGTCTGGATAAATATCCCAGTCATTGGTTCTGCCAGCTGGATATGTAGCAGTAGCTGAACTGGCACATGTTCATAAAGCATGACACAGCCACACAAGTAAAGAGCTCTTCCTCTGCAAGTTTTCCACAGTAAAAGCAATTTAACTTTCACAGAACCATGGAGGTTGAAGAGGGGGTGGTTACATCAAGCCATCCATCTCTGTACAGAGCCACCAGGTCATAAAGAGATTTGCTTTAATTCCTTCATTTTGTGAGAGAAAACCAAAAATTACAATAAGTAATGTAGTTAATCATCTTTTGGGATGAATGCTGGAGCACTCTTGGGGGCAACAGTATTACAGAAAAAAATGAATTGTTGCTGCAATAGGTGAAGGCAGGAAGGAGCACTCTTCTGGGTGCCTAACAGAAGAACATCCCTCAAACTCCAGCAGTATCTGTCTCTCTGATGCATTTTACATTGGGAAAATGGTTCTCTACTGCTGCTGTTTGGTGTGCCAGTGCTCCCAAATTTTCCAATAATTGTGTTTTATAGGTCACAATAAATTGCATTGTGCAAGCAATTGTGCAGGATTGCTTACAGTGGTTGCAGTTCGATGTTCACATGGGTACTCAGGTGGACAATTTCAGAACTTGAACCACATGTAAAAATAGGCATAGGCCAAGGACACAAAAATGGTGCAAGGAATTTCAGAAGCTTGATTTCTATTACTCACACATGGACACACACACATCTCCTGATTCTGGAACTCAAAGGGAGTTGAAGGTCCTCAGGAGTTAAAAAAAACATTAGAAGTGTGTTCCAAGACTAAATACTTTTTGCACTTTTAAAACATTCTAAGCTACCACTTAGGTAATTGACTAGTCTGTAGTTTCCAGTACAGGAAAACACGAGTTATTTGTTGTTCTCTGAAGACACACTTCATGGGGCACTTAGCAATTGGAGCAGAGAATTGCAGAGACAAAACAGAACATCCCACACGTCAAGAGCTCCACTTGCAATTTTAAAATGGTTATGAAGACACACTTTCTTCAACTGTTCTGCCAGTTCATATGAAAAGAGGCAAGTATACAGGCGAGAAATCACATAGGGTTTTCCCAGTAAAAACACCTAACTTACAGACAGAAGAAAGCAAGGAGTTTTTGAAGCCTGTTGTGTCAGTTATTTACAAAGTTTTGATCTCATCCTTGGCACTGAAGCCCTTCCTTCCTTTTTCTCCTGTTGCTTCCAGAGTCATGCAGAAAGAAACAGATCCCACTCACTCCCACCCCTCTAACTGTATTCGGCCCAAAGTAGGAAATTCCCTAGGACCACTGGAACCCCAACTCCAACCTCTCTGTGAACAGCAAACTCATCACAGTTCCACCCTCATAGTCCTACCAACCCTTCTGCAACATGGTCGTTATCCCATCCCCACTAGATATTTTGGGAAGAAGTGGGATATTACTGAGCACACCCCCATAGCACAAAGAAACAGCTGGGGAGGAGTTGGGGTCACTTCCTACACAGCTATGTCTGGGATGTGTCCTGTTGTCATCTGTCTGCCACCTGCCAGTGGCTTTTTACAGGATGGTTCAAGCAGACCTTTTAGTCACTGCAATATAACTGCAAAGGAAGTAAATGTTTGTTTTCTTCTCCTTTGTTTTCCTGACTCCACAAGTTTTCCATTGATTTTAACAGGAACAGTTTCAAAAGGCTGAATGCCAACATAGTGTTGTGAACACCAAAACCAGATGTGCTTGCATATATTATGGGAACAATTAAGAAGACCCTTTGAAACTCAGTTCTTGACATCTATGATTGGGGTAAAATAAAGGAGGTTTGTTAACTCCTCAAGTTTCCCCAGCTCTTACTCCAGAACTAATTATTAGTGTCAGGAAGTACTTAGCCCCAGCATGCAGCTCACATTATAGCAGGGGACAGGCCATATATGTGCATATTAAGGATAGATTATGAAGTACAATTTAATCTAAAATTCTTTACAAACTGAGCTGCTCTTTTTGATCAGTAGTGTCAATCTAAAAAAGGACAAGATTCAAACAAATACTAGACTCTGTGCCATATGAGTCTTAGAACTTAGGTGTTACAGATTCTCAAGCCACTGCAGCTTTCACTAATTCAAACAAGTAGATATTTAAAAGAGCTCTTTTAGCATTCCAGACACAAGAATAAATACGCAGAAATGGCAAAATAGGAGGCAACAATCATCTAGAACACAATGTGCAGACATTGGCGCTGGGAGCAGGATTCCTCCTCCTTGCAGAAGTACAGTAACATGGAATCAGCTACTAGAGTTCTTGTTATTGCAGACATGAGGTTCAAGTATTAAGTAGGTAGCAAAAACAACAACAACAATTTATGCCTATTTCTAACATATAATTCTTTTGTTTCTTCAGATTCTTCACCCCTTTATCCATCAAGGTCCAGATCATTTGCCTCAGCCCAGGAGCCACCCACTGCTCTGGTTCAAGACAACACCCAGAAGATTGTTCCAAACAAGTGGCTGGAACCTCCTGGCATGGCCCCAGGTGCTATCCTGTCCTCACTTTTGCAGAGATGGCATCATAAATATTCTCAGCAGGGAACTTGCAGAGTCTCACAATCAGGAGACACAATGGCAGTGCCTTGAATCCCATCAGTGTCTCATACAGTAACAAAGATAAATCAACAACAGAGTCAGATCAACTGTGATAATTTATCAGGCTCCTCCTGCTTCAGAAACAACTGTCCATTGTGCTTTCCACAGCAATTCAGCTTGCTTGTAGCACATGCATATTTGTCCACATTTTTCCACATTTTCAATATATCCTGTCTCCATTAGTCTTCAAAAGCTATTCCTGACTTGTGTGTTATGACACAAGTTCCTGCTTATGACATAGTAAGAGACAACAAAGTTTCAAAGATCACCTATTATTTACAAGTGTGTCTGGGAAGAGGAAGACTGATCAAAAGGGAGACCCTCTTATGTCTAGACATTTCTGCATGAATAAACACAATTATGATGAAACGCACACCTACATAAGGAGAAAACTCTATATGATTGTATTCACACCAGGTGAAATTAATCTCCTTGTCTGAACTTGTCCACAGATCTTTGCATAGCTTTAACCTCTGTAAATGCTAGCAAGTAAAACAAGCTTGTTTGTCTGTTCTTAGCGTGAAGGCAGAGCCCAGAAAACTTTAAACTATTAAGAACATAAATAAGAATAAATTAGGAACATTAGGACAAAGTTTTACAGTATAAGAATAGGAATCATAGCAAGATTAAAATGCTTTTTTCAGTAGTATTTTGTTGTCATAGTTATTTGCCCTTATGTTAAACCCTCCTACTGGTGCCAAAGCAGTAAACCTGAGATAACACCTACATTTTGAATGCAATGGAAAATTTTTACTCACGTGGTAAAGTAAGGTCTTTCATCATTGATATTAATTATATTTATATTCACTGTTTTAGTTGAGTTGAGTCCTTCTGGATCTGTCACTGTTATGTTTAAAAAGTAACTGTTAGATAAGAAAAACAGAACAGGAATTATTCTGTGTATGTCAGAAAACATTTCCCTGAATAATCTAAACTATGGGAATAAAATACATTCTCACCAGTGTGGATCTTTCTCATAATCAAATTCTTTTGTGGAAAAAATGTCTCCACTTCTCCTGATTGAGAATGGCACTGTTGCAGGGAGCAGTGAATACTGAAATGAAGAGAACAAAAATTTAGTCTTTGTCTTGAAACATGCCTCCATTCATTCATTCCTTGCCTTGTAGAAAAGGGAAAGTTATTTGCACCATGCAAATAACCTGCAAAAGCCACTGAGCAGATCTGTCCAAGGATGTAACAGCATTTATTTATTTGCAGCTTCTTCTGCCTCAGATATGTCAGGTTAGAGGGCACATGGAATTCAGTGCCATTGCTTTTGAACACAAAGCAGAGCTAAACTCCCACAGCTCTGCTTCCCTCCTCACCAGCTCAGTTTGACTGGGCAAAGACTCAGGACAGACTTCAAGCTAATTGCTTTCTTGAATAACACTAAACATTGAAGTAGCATCTTTGGGTTCAGTTCTTGAATGTACTGCACTTTATAAAGCCAAACTAAATAAAGCAAAGATACAATATAATTCTTAGTTAAGTGCAGTTACTTTTCCCCAACTACCAACTTAACATTTTTCACAAGTTTTTCTGAATACCAACAGTATTTTCAGATCAGCCAACACATTTTCATTACTGAAGGTCACAGTTTGTCCTGAGATTGTCCAAAACTTGATATTAATTTGCCTTGTAAGTGATTTCCTTATGGTCTCATTTAAAAGAATTTACATTGTGATACAGAAAGTAAAAAAATTTATTTATTTTTAGTCACTGTCATCTATATGAAACATTTTGTGAGCTATTTTTTTAATTTTAAATTCACAATTTTTACTGTCTCTCTGATTAACTATATCAAATTCTGCCTTCAATATCCCTTAATTTTGGAAGGCTAACTTAAAATATAATTTTTGTTCAAACATTAAGGCTGGTTTTTCTTAGTTTAGTATTGAGCATGCTTATTTTTTTCCAGATCAAACCTTTCCTGTGTTTCTGATAAGGAAGGAAGTTGTTGAAAGATGATGGTAATTCACATTTCAGACACATCAGACTACATAATCTCTGGAGTTTTTTGTTTAGTACAACTTACTTGGAGTTTTGCATTTTCAGGATCAGTTGCATCAACTTGGAAAATGCGTTCTGGAGGTGTCCCTTCCAACACGTAGATGGTCACAGCTGCACGGACATAAGAGTACTCTGTTATCTGGGTAAAAATAAAGGACACAGCAGCAAAGAGACTGATGCACTGAAGCTGTCAGGATGTATTACTACCTGCTACATCTTCTCACTTCACAAGTGTAATTCCAAAATCATCATAAAGATCACAAATACTCAAAAGACAAAAAGAAACCAATTACATATCTGTAAACAGGCAACAACCACAATTCACAATATGAATTGTCCATTCATGGGAAGGACTGATCTTTCCTTATGGCCTATATTGAGCAATTCACAGATTATGGGGAAAATTATGGATTTGGGCTACATTTGTGGGGTTTTTACTATGCAGGTGGGAAGAACACAATCCTGTGCTAGGTCCTCATCATCATCCCCCTCCTGTCCTGTGTCCTGCCAGGAGAGCTCAGAGCCTTTCATCTTAATTTCCGCTTTTCCTTTACACCTGTGAGGCAGATAAGTAGCTGATGGTCTGCACAGACTTAAAAGTTTGATTTACTGAGGCTGGTAATTCAGTGCAAGGTATGTTTCTCTCCATGCCAGGGATTCTCACAGCTGGTCTATCCCATACTGGACTACTGGCAACAGCCTTATCTCTCCTCGGGCAGAGCAATTAACAGGACAACAGATCTTTAGATCACATTATTTGCTTTATGCCCTTTTGTGTATGCTGAATCTGCTCTTTCTGGACTATTAATTTCCACTGTGACCCCTACTGACTGCTGCTCCTCATCAGAGCAGTAGGAATCCCAGAACAGCATAATGAGTTGTTCCCAGAGGACAATAATATGAATACAAAGTTTAATGAGAGGGAGATGCTTTTTCATAAACAGCAAATGCACAATTAGTGTCTAATTGTGGCTGGTACTGTTAACTAAAGCCACACAGTTAGACAGATCAGACATCTGTGCTCGCCAATTTATGGCAGCTCTAGCTGAGAGTTAAGCTGATGCCTTTATTTGTAACAAGTTCCCACGTAGTGTGTTTCATGCTGTGTTGATCCCTTGAAGCGTCAGATTTAATTACTATTAGATTCCAGTGGCACCCATGATATGCAAGACACCAGCTATACCGAGAAGATGACACAGCCTCTTCCCTGGGGAAACTAATTTGTTTTACAAACTAAGTATTGTATGGAATCAGCAATGCCAATGTGCTCAGGAGGCATCAGTGAGGAGGGCTGAATGTGAGCAGGCTGCTCTGAACCCGTCCCCTTGCAAAAGTCAGGCTGCAGCCAAGTTTCACTGTCCCAGTGTGGTCAGTCCAAACCTGGGGGGTTAGCAGCCAGCTCTGAATACCTGCCACAAAGGGATTACAGTTTAGTATTGTCAGATTTTTTAAAACTGACTATTGAAGTATGCTTGGCCACACAGTGCTGCTATGACAGCAAGTTGTCAAACAGGCTCTCAGTACTTTATGGAATGAACTGAATTGTTCTGTCTGCATGTGAGCACATAATAAATCACTATATTCTGATGTATCTGTTACCATTTTTGTAGGTCTTCTTCATCAGTAAATAAGCAAGATAAGATCTCTTAGAGAGTAGGACACTTATTTCCCACCCTTTCTATTGATGGTAGCATCAGGTACAGCACAACATGCAAAGCCTGCAACTGGCCACAGCTGCAGTCCAGGCTCTCTAGCCTCATTTCTAAGGCTACTGCACATTCCTCCCCTTTGCATCTTTGCCCCTGGTCTAAAAGTAAACTTGGTTAACATCAATCGCCCCATGTAGGGGCCTCCTTCAATTTGTATCACTATAGATCACGATCTCTGAGGTCTCACTCTTAAGACTGATTTTCAACTTAATTTCTTGTGTGAAGGTGCAGATGGTATATGCAGATATAAAACATCTGCAAAGCAAGATTTTTATTGTTTTACCACAGAAATTCTTGCACATACAATATGCCCTTGTTGAAATTTATCTTGCTTGTCAGCCCAGTTCTCAACAAACTACAGAAATATGGACCCATATTCAATAGTTATAAACCCAGAAAACTTTAATTTTCTAATTAAAAAGAACATATGTATTTATTGGTATAATTTTTTCCTTTAATTCTTCAGCTGCTTCAAAATGGGCAAATAATTTTTTAACAAAATTTCAAGAAAAATGAAAGGGCATTTCCAGAGATGAAGCATACCAACTCTTTGTGTAAAACAACACTGGTAAAAACAGTGTCCTATTCTTCCCTTGTTTTCCTGAAGCAAAACACTTAGACTACTTTAGAATTTACTTTACTTTAGACTACTTTAGTTACTGTATGAGCTCAATTTTTTTTAAGTTGATGTAATCTTTTCAAGTATTGTTCTTTTCAAATTCTACCATTATCTTACTTTGAGTTGCCAAATTTCCTCGAAATACAGGATGTTCATTTTTATCTGTTACGTGAATAGTCAATGTGTTAAGGTCAGTTCTTCCAGTTGCATCTTCAACAAAAATCTGCAAATCAAAGCTCTTTGGCATTGTTTCATAATCTAGGACAGGGTTTCCAGTGGTAATAACCTGAAAATAAAAGATTATTATTAGCACATGATGCAAGAGATGAAACTTATAGTCCAAGGGAGTGAACACAAATCAAGGGACACTTTCAATCAGTAAAGAGTGAGTGTTCTAGATAATCTTTTACTTGTTGGCACATTTTGCATCAGTGGCGAAAATGTGACAGAAACAGAGTGAAGAGATCAAAATGTCTGGCTTCTGGAGTAACTCAAAGATCTTTTGTGTGAGGAGCAGTTTGAGGAGGAGATAGCCTGGAAGGAGCTGCCCTGCCTCACAGATTTTATGTGAGTTTTTAATGCTTTATCTTCAAGTTCAGGCCGACAGGTATGTCTTTGTGCCAAGTGTTTTCCTTTCTACACCATGCTCCAGGAGTGCTCAAGGTGTGATCGACTGAGAATTCAGAGGAATCCTTGCAAGACATAGGGGCAGCTTCACTTTTTCTGTGAATTAGGAACATGAGGAGGAAGATCTTTTACTTGAAATAAAGAGAGTGAAGGCAGAAGGCCACATAGTCTAGAAGTTACTAGAACCTTCCTTGTGTAGCCTGTATCTGGGAGAAGACTTGCGGGAAAACCACAGAAGGGAGCTTCATTGTCTGAGAGAGGCACCAGAATTGTTTGGGGAAAATCCCGAACTAATTGAAAAAATATCCTAGGCCTTGAGTTTTCCAAGACTGATAAGGCAAACATTTGCTTTATTTTGTTTAGGGGATTTTATTTCAAAGGCTTTCAGCTCTGCATACTGCCTCAACACAAAATATGTACTAGCATGAGATTGACATCCTATGAAAAAATGTAAAATGCAATCATTCTGGATTTAGGATGAGTGCAGAGCAACAGGAGGATACTGAAAGTTGTGTGCCTCAATCTTCACTGCTGAAACCAATAATAAAACAAGATCTTTCCTTTCTTGGACAAGAAAGGAAAAGGTGACCATTAAGTTTTTCATGTGGCTAAAAATGTGTGAAACTTGAACCCAGTAGCAGGGTGCTGTGGAACTGGAGAAGTAGAAGAGCTGGGATTCATGAGTGTGTGTGACAAGTAGCATGTCAGTATATTCACAATACTACAGAATAGAGGAGACTGAAGAGCATGCAGAAGGATAACAAAGAGATAAATCCTTGGGTTT